TGGGAGACAAGCCAGCCGGGAACCCGACCACAAGCACCCAGCCTGGGAGACAAAAAATGAAAAGAACTGGGAGACAAAAGAAAAGAACTGGGAGACAAATGAAAGGAAGTGGAGACAAGCCGGCCGGGAACCCGACCAGACCATCCAGCACCAAGGCGACCATTCTTTAAAGCATTGAGAACCCCCAACAGTAAACTGCTTGGGGAATAAACTAAACGAGAACCCAAGCATCGGAGATTCTTTTGGGAAAAGCACACACATGTGTACTGCTGTGCCAGCGCTACGGTGCATCGTCTAATGCTTAATTTTTTGGCATGGATCTCCGGTGGCGTGCATCGTTGGCATGATCAGGGCGTCGATATGGCGGAGGTATCCCAGGAGGAGAGGATTTGTTGCTTGTTTTTCTCGAACAAAATGAACAAACCTTTGCGGGCTTCGATCTTAAGAATTTACACCGGCATAGACCCTAGATAGAAATATAGTTGCAGTAAGAAGAAAACAAGACGGTTCCCTTTTAGTCCGGTTGGGGGTTGGATGTATTATATATATACACATCAAATGGCTTTCAATCTCTGCAGCTAGTCTCCAACCCCATTGCAACATGGCTTCAACCCAGCATTGCCCCCCAAAACAGCCCTTCGAAGGCAAAGGGCGCAACTTGCGCACCTGGAGCTAGTGCACTGTTGGCTCCCTTGCCAGGGCCTACCATACTGAGCGAGCAGCATTCAGCAAAAACTCTCCGACCGAATTGGACGCACCCTGGGGCTGTGATTTGACCCAGCGCGTAGCATCCCTGAAAGGCCCCATCCTGCTCCCTTCCTCCCCCAGCCCCGTCTACACCCATGCGCCTCCCGTCTCGCGCCCTTTCCTTCCATCCACAGCCCCGTCCACACCCATCTTAGGTCCACAAAAACGCTTGCTTCGTCTCGCGTTTCCGCATTCTTCCGCGGCACTAGCGACTAAACAAGGGCCCAAGCATCGGAGATGCTTTTGGGAAAAAGGTTGTGGGTCAGAAAAAAGGGGTTGTGGGTCAGAAACAAAGGAATCCCATGGAATCCCTATATAGTTATCTATGTGTACTGTAATTATTCTATGCAGTGCATATATAACATGACATGCATTTGTCATAGAAAGTAGAAGAAGTTGTCATGCTGCAACACCAGCCAGTTCAAACATCCACACCTTGGCCTGACAAAAAACACTGTTTCTTGGGGACCAGTGCAGTGGAACAATTATGATGTAGCACCCAGCCATGCCAACGACCCCCGACTTCAGTTACTTCAGAAAGTCCAAAACAAATACTGTAGGTCGGGGCTTAGCGAGATGCATTGTCAGGCCTCCAAGTATGGCAGGGTGAAGCTGGCTTGTTTGTTGGCAAGATGCTGCTATGGAGCTGGAGAATTGGGTGAAGTCAGGGTTCCTCAGTTACTCTTTCGTTCATTACTTGTTGTGAGGAATTGCCATGTGTTCGAACACGGAACGCATGATTGACCATGTGCAGAATATGATATGGCTCGAATGTGCCCAGTCTAAGGATCAGTACTGGTGGATGTCCAAGTGAAAACGTCATGCTATACAACTATTTGTTTGACACGGCCAGCCGGCAACTTTCCCCATGTGTCTCACAAGCTTCAGCTTTAGACACTTTTTGCAAAGGTTGCCACTATAGTTGAGAAGTTCAGAATGTCATCCATTGGTTTCTTTCGTCTCAGCTCATGCGCTTGGTTGGGTCAGGTCTTGAGTCTTGAGGTTGAAGAACAACCTCGCGCCTCGTGCCATGTTCCGCTGCAGCTTTGTAACCACACCAGCTGATCTGGCTCATACAGACTTGGGGCAGAGCCTAGACTACTTCATCGGTATATAGGAGTCGACGGTCGTGTTTCCCCAACTGGACCTGAGATGGATAGATGATGATAGGTGTGGGAAGCAGAAATACCATATCTTTGAACACTCCTCGACTCAAATGATTCAGGTCACTTCACAACTACTTCACCATGCCCTGACCCTCCCAACACCATCTCCCACCTTCACGATTTTCTCAACTCCGAATTCCTCACAACTCCTACTTATATAGCTACTAGTAGCTTCTTGTTACTAGTAGTAATGCCCTAGCTAACTAGTAGCGTCCTTGCTGATCCTTGCTGCGAATAGCGATGGCCTCCAACCTAATAGCTTCCTGCCTGTTACTAGTAGTATTCTTGTTACTGAATTCTCCCCGTGAATCAGGAACATCCCAGAAGATCCCACGGAACGTGTGGAGAAGGCCGGCGCCTTGCTGGAGAACCTGGGCCGCTCCCTCCAAACGGTCCGCGACAACGCCAACGAGTTGGCCAACGCTGGGGCGGTGCTGGCCGAACGTGGCGACCGCCTGGCAGACGTGGCCAGCTACCTGCGGGAGGCGCAGGCGCATAGTGGGAAGATGCAGGGGAACATCAAGGAGATCTTGGAGTTGGTAAAAGGAGCGGGAAAGCGGCTTCTCAGTGGGAAGGAATTTGGGATTTGGATATGATTAGAACATGTCATATGATATGAAGAATGATCAATACGTTAGAGAGAATGACATAGGCATAAATCACAAACAACAGGCATTCTATAAGTTCACGGATTCACGCGCCGTTTTGAGAGGTATTTGGGGCTATTAGGGATTGGACCGCCCTTCAGCGCCAGGAATGCAAAACCACCCAGAGACGGAGTCCAGCGTGAACTGGTGCATGTGCCTCATGGTTCCTCCGTGGCAGTCTGGAGCCAAGGGCCCCTTGGGCTCTCGTGGCTTTGACAATCTGCATGCCTTCCTTTAAATGTGCAGCTGTAAAAGAGGATGGCAAGAGAGGTGCTGGAGCATGTCAGAGGGCTGAAACACATGGCCGATTTGTCAAGCCTTTTCGTCGCTGCATGTTTGCCAGGTGGTCATCATCACAAACTCTGGATTTGGCTGGGTGCATGAAACAGCGGTTCGTTTCATGCCATCCGTCCTTGGTTGGGGGCCCAGATTTCAATTTGGATCATTGTCACTGCACATGACGAGCTTGGTCGTTCTGCCTTTGCAGAATTCGTGTTGCACTCTTTTGCCGGAAACCTCACAACTATGTTCGGTTCAAGTGTGGCACAG